GTTTGAGACCAGCCTGGACAATATAGTGAGACCCTGTCTCAAAAAAAAAAAAAATGAAAAGCTCTATCCTAAGGAAGCACAATGGAATCCAAAGATAAAACATGCCAGAAGGTTCATTAAGTTTTAGTCCCTGTTTGGTTGTGTCTTAAAAACAACAACTTGGTGAAAATGAAGTTTCAGGCCAGACAGATTCACAGAGATCAGGACAGAGAAATTTGTAAAACTGGAGCTGTCTGGTAAAGACCAGCTCCAAACACACCCTTTAGAACTCGACGTTGTTAGGAGGAAAATAAAGGAGTCACTAACGTTCTCACTCAGCTACAAGTTAAACTTGTGCCCCAGTCATGCTGGTGTGTGCCAGGATCGGGGGTGAAAGCTGAGGAACCCAGGTCCAAAATTTAAAGAGGACACTGTAGTATCCTCCTCTCGCTGCTGGCCGTCACTGTCTGACTCCGAGTTGTGGCTTAACGGCTCTATTTCTCCGCTCCGGGACGTCAGTGCCTGCGAGGGAGACACGCAGCAACTTGCCAACAACCCCTTCCTCTGGAAGTCGCGCTTGGCGGTCGAACCTCACCAGACCCAGCGCTCGCCAGGACCGCTCGTCCCTGCGGCGCTTCCGCGCTGCGCCGAGCAGCTGCCACGGGCGCCCCCACGCGCCCGCGCTTCCCGGCCCCGACCTTGGCAAAAGCGGGCCCGCCCTGGGCAGCGGCGGGGACTGGCAGGAAAGGCTACCCTTGCGATTCCCGGGGGTAGGCGACAGGAGACCGAGGGAGGCAGGACCTCCAAGGCTCACTGCAGCCTGGGATCTCCTCTTCGCAAGGAGGGCAGTGGCGGGGCCAAAGCCCTGAAGCACACCCGGGGTCCCCCTTGCTCCCCGACCCTCCGCGACACAGACGCTGTGTGGGGGTCGGGGTGCAGAGGGAGGAGAGGAGAACGGGCTCGTCTGCCGCCTCCTTTGGCCTCTTCTCTCCTTCCGCAGCCTCCATCCGCATGCACCGGGCGCACCTGCCCGCGCCAGCTGCACCCACTCACGGGCGCAGGCTGAGCCCCCACCCGACGCGCCGGCTCGCTTTTCTCGAGCTTCCACGGGCTCTTCCCGCGTTCCCAGCGGAGTCGGGGGCGGGGAGGGGCGCTAGGGTCTCGACGCGTGGGGCAGCTTGCCCCTCCATGTCCGCACTTGCCCCCTAGCGTTTCGAAAGGTCCCTCCTCCCGCTGGAGCTGTGGTCGGGAATTCGGAGCCCCCAGTCTCCTCGGGGGTGAACCCCACTTTTCCATTGGTTGTGGGAGGCGAGGAGCGGGGGCAGCTGCAGGGAAGGGGGAGGGGGCGGGAGCGCGGGCGTGAGAGGAGCGTTTGCACTGTTTGTCAATTGGGGGCGGAGGAAAAAAAAAAAAACCACTGCGGGAAGCTATAAAAGCAAAGAGGCGGCGGAGAGAGCAGAGGGCGCGGGAGCTCGCGCGGGCCCAGTGCGCTCCGGGCACAGCTGCGTCGCCGGCAGCGGCTGGTCGTCCCGTGGCGCTTTGGGGCGACTGGGGTTGCGCGCGGGGCGCGGCTCTCGAGGGCCGGTCCGGGGCAGCCCGCGCTTCCCCGGCATAGCGCCTGCTACCTCGCAGGGAGCACGTGTGTCCCGCAGAGCGGAATCGCGAAGCGTAGAAAAGGAGAGGGCAGAAGAGCAGCCGAGTCCGGACGAGACGCCGGCGCGGACCGTAACCAGCTAGGAGGCCGGGCCCGCGGAGATCTCGGCCGGACCACTGCGGTGCGGGCAGGCAGCGGCGGGCGCGCTGCGACCCGCAGGGCTGGGTCTCCCTGCACCGCGAGTCACGCCTGCTGGGCGACAGGCGCCGCGCCTTTGGTCGCCGCCGGTTCCTGCAGAACTTCCTGCCCCGTGGAGAAGCGGGTCTGCTCGGGGCGCGCAAGCTTGGCCCGAGGCCTAAGACTGAGTTCACACGACCCTGGGGCTTAGAGCCAGGAAGGGTTGAGGGAACAGAGACTGCGTGCCCCGCTCCCCCAGCGAGGGGCCCGTGTTGGGGTCCCCCCTGCCCTTGCATTCGCACCCTCCGGGCCGCGCGCCGCCCCAGGACTCCGCCGGGAGATGGCCGCGTGGATGCGGGGCAAGGATCCGTCCCGCTGCCTGCTCCTCCTGGCCGCGGTGCTGATGGTGGAGAGCGCGCAGACCGGCAGCCCGCGGGCCAAGCTCAACTCCATCAAGTCCTCTCTGGGCGTGGAAACGCCTGCCCAGGCCGCCAATCGATCTGCGGGCGCCTACCAAGGACTGGCTTTCGGCGGCAGCAAGAAGGGCAAACACCTGGGCCAGGTAGGAGACGTTCCCCGCCCCCACCCCGTGCACTCTTCAGCCGGGAGCTCAGGCGTCCCGCGCCCTCGCGCTCGCGCTCTGCCTGTGCGCCCCGCAACTTGTGGGGCGGCCCCGGGAGTGGCGCGCGGGGGCTGGGCGGGCGGGTGTGCGGGTCGCCGCGGGTCCCGCACTGCACGGAGCGGGCGGGCTGGGCATCTCTGTCCCCTCTGCTTGGGCACGTGGGCACGTCCCAAGCTTTGGTGCGCTCCTGCGGGGAGGGTGGCCAGAACGGTCCTTCCGTTTAACACAGCGATGAATTGTCAATAGCGGCTCCCACACGGCGACTGTCGGAGCCAGGCACGAAGCTAGGTGCCTTACGTGTCCCTCGTTCCACCCGCACGAGCCCGCGAGCCAGGCGCGGTCGCGCTCCGGTTCTGGAAACGCGGCGACCGATGCACGGAGAGGTCGGCGACGCGGCCGAGGCGCACAGCGCGCGTGGGTGGCGGGGCCGTGGACGGTGGGGTCCGCGTCCTGGGGCTTAGCCGTTGCGGTTTGCAGCCTGGAGGGAGGCTCGACCCCTTTTCCGCGTCTCCTTCCCTCTCAGCCGCTGTCTCCCCGCAGAGAAGTGAGGTCGCAGGTGGGGAACGGCTCCGGCGGACACGCACGTGCACGCAGGGCTGTGAGCACGCCGCCCGCGAGAAGCAAAGTGACGAGGGGACGATGACGGCGCAGTAGGTGCCCGGGAGACAGAGCAAGGACGCCGGGGCGCCTTTAAGAGCGGGAACTTCCCGCAGGCGTGTGTCTCCGTCACACAGACAGTGACAGTCACTTGTGCGCGGTGGCGCAGACAGACGCGCAGGGGCACGAGCGCGCAGCGGCCAGGAGAGGGGGCTCTGCGGGCGCCGGGACTCGGGACCGCGCTCCGCCGCTTTGCGGGGAGCCCAGACTGAAACGCGCACCGCACAGCGCGAGTGTCGCCGCCGCGCCCCGCGGGTCCCCACGGAGCCGCGTCCCGGGTCGCCCTGGGGAGACGGCGCTGCGGCTCCCGCGCCCTGGGCGTCCTCGCCGCCCGGCTCCGGCGCAGGCGACAGGGCGCAGGTGGCAGCGAGGCCGGTCCGGGTGGACAAGGAGAGCTCCGGCCCGAGCGTGGCCCTGCCGCTCTCTCACGGCGGCGGACGCTGCTGGTTTTGCGGTTTTGCGGTTCCAGACGCTTCCCTGCGCTTTGAAACGTCAGTGTTTCGGGTGTCTTTTCAAAGGATTACAGGGTCTGCAATCCAGGAGTTTTTGTTAGTCTCGAGGAAAATGAGACACTAGACGTACACGTGCACGCACCGCTAACCGCGGCACACCGCACACACGTGCACGCACCTACCGGATCGCTCCCGTCCCCGTCCTCTCCCCGGGGTGGGGGCCTGGCGCTCCCCGGAGCGATGGGCCCAAGGGACGCTCCAGTCCAAGTCATAGCACTTCCCTGATGCCACTGACTTCAGGTTCCACGTCCTCAGTTTGGGAGCTCACTGTGCGGTTCCGCCAAGGACGCAGGGACGGACTCAGATCTTCTGAGATGCGGCTCCATTCCAGTCCATGTATATTTTGGGGGCCTTTGTAAAGCACTTTTTATTTCTGCCACGACACTGGGCCCCAACATCTAATGTTCCTGTCAATAATGGGTTATGTAAGCACTGCCACTAGCCGGCGTCACCCCAGTAGGCTGCGGGGGGTGTCTCTGAACCTAGCTGATTCTGTGCGTTGGGATAACGTATCTACATAAATGGGTATAGCACGCGCTTACTTCGCCACGCCTCCAAACACCTGCTTCGTCCTGCGTCCTAACGAGTCCGCCACTTGCATCTCCTCAATTCGAGGATTTATTTCACCAATGAGTTGAGTTTCTGATATGGCCTCCAATAAGTTAGCAGTTCAATGGAATCTATTTCATTATATTTACTGACCTGGAAGGCCAGATGGTTAGAATTTGGTGATAGGCTTGTGAGCAAATTGTAACACATTGGCGATAACAGTGAAGCAAAACAAATGTTGGGTTGAATAGCAGGATAGTTGGCAAATGGGATAATTTTATTTTGTGGATGCCGCCTTTCACTTGTGTAGCAGATGATCTAAAAATGTGTGTTGTTATGAAGAAACCAATAGAAAAATCTCTTTGGAGTAGAAAAAGGAATTCTTTGGACACTGACGAGTCTCTTTATCTTCTTAATTCTACTAGTCATGTGGCCACCGCCAAGATTCTTAATACTCTTATTTTCAGAAATGGAATGGAAATTAGAAATGTTATTCAAGGGAAGATGTTACTTTATAGAGAAGATCTCTAGAATTGAAATGTAGCTGGGCTGAATTTTTATCCATCATAGTAGCAAAATATGATTGCGAAGACTGAAGGTAAAGTGCCAGCTGGTGGTGCTAGGCAATTAGATAGTGTCACCTGAAGCCTAGTAGTTTGATTCCCCCTGTTCTCTCTATCCTTGATTGACAGTGTTGAAATACATGCCTTTCAGGGACACAGGAGCAAGAAACTAGGATGCAACTTCAAGTAGGCGGATTAGAAGCTTAGTCTTTGGTCTTCTTTTTCTTAAATGGAAATTGAGCATTTGTCTATTTTAATTTTTCAGGATAGAGAATTAAAATGAAAATTTTACCGCCACTGCAGAAGAAGTTCTTGGAGAGATTTAATAATTCATTAACCTTACAAAAGTGAAAATGAGACTAAATGTGTTCCAAGGGTGTCTTGAGGTTTGCCTGATTTCACATGCAGAGAAACATTGTTATTTATAGGAATTCTACTTGTTCCATAGGCAAGGTGTATTGTTCATAATATCACTCCTAGAAAATGTGCCCTTAAATTTTAGGAAAGATTTAGAAGACCCACAGAGAAAATGCACTATTCTACAGAGGTGTTACAATTCTCAATTTTTAGGTTTGATTTCAAAGATGGGTTATGATGGAAACTGACATAGAAAAGTGAGAGTGGTGGTATTCAGGTGATTGATACAGAATTAGAGAAAATGATTTTGCTGAGTTATTCACCGTAGTATTTTAATTTGCCTTTCCGTTTGCAGTTACTACTAATGGGTTCAAAAAAGTAGTGTGTGAATGTACTATATATGTATATGGGGTTAATTAAGTTGCTA